TGAGACAGAGTCTCGCTCTGTCACCCAGGCTGGAGTGCAATGGCCAGATCTCAGCTCACTGCAAGCTCCGCCTCCCGGGTTCCTGCCATTCTCCTGCCTCAGCCTCCCGTGTAGCTGGGACTACAGGCGCCCGCCACCTCACCCGGCTAGTTTTTTGTATTTTTTAGTAGAGAGGGGTTTCACCGTGTTAGCCAGGATGGTCTCGATCTTCTGACCTCGTGATCCGCCTGTCTCGGCCTCCCAAAGTGCTGGGATTACAGGCTTGAGCCACCGCGCCCGGCCCTAATACCATATTTTTTCCATAGCTTTTCTGTGTTTAGATATACAAATCCTTACTGTACAGGTCTGTAGCCGAGGAGCAATATGCTGTACCATATGGCCTAGGTGTGCAGTAGGCTCCACTATCTAGGCTGGTCTAAGCACACTCTATGATGTTCTCCCATCAACGAAATCGCCTGATGATGCATTGCTGAGAATGTATCCTAGTCACTGCGCAATGCATACCTCTACTGAAGAGCACCGTGTGATGCAGGCTACAGCTGAGTTCTGTGCACGATGTGGTTGGAGCCCTGAGGAAGGGGAGGGCTGTGGACTGAATGGTATCCCCCTCAATATTAGACGCTGAAGCTCTAGTCCCCAGTGTGACTGTATTTGGGGCAAGGGCCTATAAGGAGATGATGAAGATTAAGTGAGGGCATAAGGGTGGGCCTTGATCCAACAGGATTAGTGTCCTTATGAGAGACCAGAGAGCTTGGGTGCTACCTTCCCCCACCCCGTGGGAGGACATGGTGAGAAGGTGGCTGCGTGCAAGCCGGGAAGAGAGGCCTCTGGGACTTCTAGCCTCCAGAACTGAGAGAAAATAAATGTCTGTTGTTTAAGCTGCTCTGTCGATGGTATTTTTTTATGGCACCTGGAGCTAATACAGAATGATTCACCCTCCTGGGGAGAAGGGGCAGTGGGGGCAGTGGCCTCCTCTGGTTTCCGTGGCCCTCTGCAGAACTCCCTCCCTGCCTCTCCTCCTTGTGCCAAAGCACCCTTCTAAGGGCAGACCTGATCGCACTGTTCACAGGTCCCCAAAGCCCACAGAAAAGGCCCAACTCCGGACCTCATGTGTCTCATCCCACTGGAGGAGCTTCCTCTCTCTTCTCTGCTGTCTTCTCAGGAGGGAAAGTTAAGGGTCTGCTTGACAACCCTCTGGGGAGAGGCCAGAATGGGGTGCTGCATTCCAGTGATGAGCTAGGCGTAAGCCTGCATGTCTCCTCCTGTGCTTTCCCAGAAGTGAATACACAGTGGATATTCAAGAAAGTAAAGACTATCTTTAAGAATGAATGGCCAGGCGCGGTGGCTCACGCCTGTAATCCCAGCACTTTGGAGGCCGAGGCAGGTGGATCACCTGAGGTCGGGAGTTCAAGACCAGCCTGACCAACATGGAGAAACCCCCTCTCTACTAAAAATACAAAATTAGCCAGGGTGGTGGTGGGCGCCTGTAATCCCAGCTACTCGGGAGGCTGAGGCAGGAGAATCGCTTGAAACTGGGAGGCGGAGGTTGTGGTGAGCTGAGATCGCGCCATTGCACTCCAGCCTGGGCAAAAAGAGCGAAACTCTGTCTCAAAAAA